AAAAGGGGGGGGGGGGGGGGGGGGGGAGGGTTGAGGCATCATCGTATCGCGGAATCTAAACAAACGTTGCTCTCACACGTAGATAAGGAAAAATAAGGCATATGTTGTAAAACTGAAAATCCTGAGACTGCTAAGGCATGGACGGATGCATCCCAATAAAAGTGGAGTGCCAAGTCGCGCAGATTCAGAAGATATCAAATAATTAGCCGAAGATGAAAGTGAACAAAAATAAGGTAACAGAAATTCATGCATACAGGAATAATAACATACACAAAGAAAGGATAAGTTCGTTTCATCAAACAACACTAGAACAGCGAAGTGTAGGGAGAAATCTAAATATCATGCGCAAGCAGATGTGCTAGGATGCAGTAGTTTGTGTTTCATCCCTTAGCTGTAAACATGGACCGAATGCAGAGAGCAGTCGAGGCTATAAAACACAGATCATTTCACCAGAGTGACAAAGCCGACTTTTTTCATCGGTGTAGCTTAAAAAGCACAAAATTATGAGATTTAAAATTTGAAATTTTTTCAATGAAAAGAAAAAGCATAAAAAATGAATTACCATTTCAACGATGGTGTGGCGCCCAGTAGCAACAGCAGCAGCACTTCCTCCTCCTCCACCACCGCTCGATCCGTTCGCAATGAGTGCCTGGGATCCACGGCCGCCATCGTCGCCAGCTCCAGCTGCTCCAAATTCGTGCTCCTCTTCCTCGGCAGCAGCAAGCAGCATACCGGCCGCTTCGTCCGCAATATTTTCGTCCTCCTCCTCATCGATCCGCATAATTTTTCAGTAGCAGCAGCAGCAGCCCTCAGGCTTCCACCTCCTTTCTTTTTCTCTCGTTTTTCGATTTCTGGATAAAATGAGGATAATAAGTGTGTGGCGTTTGTTTGCATGCACTACGCAGCATACCCCGCGGTCAATTCAATTCACCGTCTTCCTCGTTGTGTTGTCGTCATTTGGCCAAAAGTGCCGCCACTTCTTAGCTTTTTTTGAATAGCATCGGCAGCAGGAGCAGAAGCAAGCTATTTTTAGCAATATCCGGCGCCACTTTCTCCATCATCAGCGTACAAGAGCAGCAGACTGGGGGAACGAGGCAGCTCTTCTCTTAACTTTTCCTGAAAAACAACTTCATGTGAGCCATGAGGCCAGTGATTAAGCGTACTATTAATGAGTTTGTCCGTTGTTAGGTCATTATATACATACACACACACACACACACACGCCTACAGCGGACTTTCGTCGCTGCTATCTTAAACAATCAATTATTTGACATCGCCTTCATCCTGCTGCTAGGGGATCAATACGACCAGACACAAAAATGCTAGGCCAACTGAGCAAAATGGAAAGATGAAGCACAGAAATTGCCGTGGAAGTCCCGCGAAAAGCCAGCGAAGATTTAAAAAATATGTTTGTGGGAACAGCACCAAACATCACCGGAAACATGGGCATACAAACAGAATATAGGTGCTCCAGCAAGTGTAAATTGCCACACCAGTCAGTGGTATAGTGGTTTAGCACGCCGCGACCGGATATGATGCTGTGGTTCGATTCCTTCCTCCGGCTCATATCCTTAGAAAGACCACTTCTAATATCTATAAATTTCTACTTTGAAATCCGAAAATTTCCGAGGAAAAAAAAAGCGGAATTTCAAAGCCATAAACTTTCACAAAAAAAGTTCCTAGGAGCGAAAATAGAATTTCTAATGTACAAATCATAGAAGAGCGGTCTTTTAATAAAAGAAATGAAAATGAAATTCCAGCAAAAAAAAATTTTCGAATTTTTAACAAAAGAAAACTTGGGAGGAAAAATGAAACATTTAACAAATGCGAATGAGATTTTAAGCAAGAAAAAAATAACACTGGCAAATAGCATTTTCATTAAAAAATAAAAATTCCTCGCAAAAATCCTACCAATTACGCACACACATACACACATACATACACACACATACATGCATACACACATAGGTACATACACACATACACACACATACATACATGCACACATACATGCAAACACGCATACACACAAACAAACAACAGCCTTGTTAATGCAATTTCAAAACTGCATAGTTAGAAAAAGCAAGGAAAGCATAAAATAACATCTGTCCAATATGTACAGGATTTTCTGGGTTTTCCAGATGGGCTGCTCAAATTGCAGGACTCCCCGGGATATTCAACAGCGCTACTCACATGTACAGGGCTCGTAAAGATATCCAGGCAGTTGCTCAAATATACCGGATTTTTCGGGATATCCAGCAGAAACAACTCAGACGTACACGCTTCTCCGGGATATCTCGAAGACAGTCAAGATATTCAAGAAACGAGGGTAACATACTGATAATCTAGGAAAAAGCATACACTCCACAGCCCGCACTAGTCGGCTATTCTAGGCAAGCATGCACCACGGCACGTGCACCCACCTTGAGGCCGATCCCGCGACATCTCTGGAGCACCGGGGTTCACCTACCCTCTTCTGCTCCCCAGTTCTCCCATTCCGCTCTCCCCGACAACGGTAAAATTCGCCACCAAAAAAACCGCCCCTGGAGCTATATTACACGGCCCCTGAGTGGCTGCTTTTGAAAAATCGTATGCTGTGAAGACAGCGTGCTGGGGGAAGGGGCGGGAAGGGGAGGGGGTAGGGGACAGGGTGGAAGTTGGGAGCCAAAGGGTGTTTCTGAAGTTGCATGATTTGTATTTCTGTAGACAATTTTCCTGACGGGCTACGATTTCTACTAACAATGTCGGAAAGGAGCAGGGAAGGGTGGGGGATGGTTCCTTATCAAACATGCTGCCCTGAGCAGAGGTTCTTCTTGAATAGGGGACGCACTCCAAAATACGTCTTCGGGGACCAAATCTGAACTTCGATGTACCTCACTTTTCATACAGGCAGCGCAAGGAGGGAAATGAATTAGAGTAATACTAGCAGTATCAAATCTAATACTAATAAGATGAATAAACTTTGAAAAATTGAAAATTATTCATTTGCTGCGGAAAAAGGACAACAAAACACAATCTTAATGCATGCTGACGAGATCGCCAGTGTGATGGAAGGATCCGCTTGAACGGTTATATGGTGTTATATGAACGAGAGAACTCCAAAACAGAGAAGAATGGAGAAGTTGCTAGCTAACACAATAGCCAAAAGAAACACAATGAATAGAGCGGAAAGTGCTGCCGCAACATTTGACTTTTGTTTGCAACAGAAAGCAATGACTTTACTTGCAAAAAAAGAAAGGAAGGAAAAATCCTTTCAGAATCAGCAAAACTATGGGTGAAACTGGATTGCGGGCAGATAACATTGGAAAATACGAATACGAAAGTAATAAAAATAGAATGGAAATTAATGCGGAATATTTTAGTTTTCACTAAATTGTATACATTCTGTTCAGAGACGCAGTTGGGCCTCATCAGTAGAGGAACTTAACATGGCAAGTTCAGAGTGAATAGCAGCGGCAATCTCAATGATACAGAGTTCTGTAGCAATCAGAGGCGAATCCAAGACGGACTCTCGGGGAGGGGACCGACGGAGGCTGGGGCAGGGAGCCCCCTCCATCCTGAAACTATGCAAAAACTAGGAATGGAGTTGTAACACTGCTACTTAGAGTTACTTTAGTTTGATTTATGAACAGACCTGGGCTTTTGCGGCACTGATGCCTGTGCCGCTGGAGGACAAAAGACCTACTGGATTCGCCTATGTGGCAAGGCTATGAACAACTCGAAAAAAAAGCACTTTTTAGAAGCTAATGTGAGAAAAATTGAGGATACTTACAGTGGACAGAGCGGGCACGCTACCTCATAACTCCAGACTTGTGCAGAAAGGAAGGCAGTGGCATTTTAATTCAATTTGTTCAATTTTATTCTCCTCAAGCAGGACACTTTGCGTGTCTGCGAACATAACAGAAACACGAGTGATAAAAGGCATAGACCCCAGTGGCTGGGATTGCGGAGAATGACTGGAACATAACTTTACCGCACATTTGCACCGCCATTGAGCTTTTAAGCAATCCTCGAAAAAGGGAACCGGCATGTGGTTGCTCTTGGTACTTACTGATCTGAGCCACTTCCGGAATGCCTCCATCTCTTGCATAGGTAGACCCAGGGGAGGGTTTTCCGCCTCTCCCTTCCAGCGGCACAGGCATCAGTGCCGCAAAAGCCCGGGTCTAAAGCTAAAACTAAAGTTAACTAAAGCCTAAAGTAACTCTAAGTAGCAGTGTTACAACTCCACTCCTAGTTTTTGCGTAATTCGAGAACAGGAGGGGATTCTTCTCTCCACCCTCCGCCGTCCAACGCCACCTCTCCCCCCTGTTCTCCCCTCTCCCCAGGAGTCCGTGAAGCTTCGGATTTGGCTTTGTTCTCTAAAAAGACATTAGATGTGTCTTCTCGGAGCAAATTACTGAAGCAATAGGCCTGCGACGTTAGACCCTAAAAAGGCACGAGGATGGTGCTGGACGAAGGTCATTCTGGCCGAACCCTCCTCAAAAGGAGCCCAGCGTGCACTAATAAATAAAGGAATAAAAAAAAAAAAAAA